ACATAAAAATTATTGAAAGCCTAGGTGATCTCTTAACATACGCTTAAATACAGATAAAGAAGACTGACATGCTAAAACCGAAGGAAGTTCATTCCATTCCTTTGAGCCACGTGGAACGAAAGAGCCGGATGCAGATTTTAGCTTGAGACGAGGAATGAAAACGCTATTATTATGACCTAACCGAGAACTTTGACGCGAAGTTAGTGGTGAGATCAAATCAGAAGTTGAGAGAGGACTTTTATTACAGAAAATAATGAATATGAAAATATAAAAGACGTCTATTAGAAAGTGGTTGAATTTTTTTGAGCAAGTAAGAAGAGGAACTATTAAAGTCTTGTGAGATAATTCTACTAGCAAGATGCTGAATTTTGTTCAGAATATCAAGGGGAGCGGTAAAGGCTGAATCATAGATAACACAAGCATATTCGAGCACTGGTCTTACACAAGTTCTGTACAGATGGACAGTGGGCATTTCGCTAGAGCAGGCGGACATTAACTTTCTAAGTAGACTGAAATTATCTGGACCACTTTCTATAGGTTTTCGAACCTATAGAAAACTATAGAAAGTATAGAAACTATAGAAGAACTCTTTCTCTTAAAATGTATCACACTTATGTTTTTTCTTACAATGTATGTCTTTTAGTAGCGACTTCTTTTTAGAAACTTTTTAGTTTAGGTTATCACGAGGTGTCTCCGGATGTCACAAGTCTTTTTGCTGCTTTTTCGTGATATCCTACCTTTGTGTAAAATAAATCTATCTATCTATCTCCTCACATGTTCTTTTGCTCTTCTTTTGCTATTCTTTCTAATGGAATAGTTTTCCAGTTTCGACAAAGTTTTCCAGTGGGTTTTCCAGAGATCGGATTTGTGGAAAACCCTTTGGAAAACGTTTTTAAACTGAAAAACCATTCCATTGGATAGAGCATCGTCGATAACCTATACAAGCAGCTTCAGACCTTACACGGTTTCTCTCTTTAATTTTGAATTTTCAGTTGAAAAGTTCTTCGTGTGAACCCCAAATCTAATTCATAGGATTCAGAACGGAGGGACCGAATTCAGATGAATTATATACCATCCTTGCAGTTTTTCACGGTGATTCCGAATATATATATATCATGTAGGAAAAAATGTTTTTTGAGTGCGAAAAGGTCAGTTTACCTCAAAAACCGAGGGATTTTGGAAAACCAATATCTTAGTCCAGGAAAATATGCGCACTTTTGAGTATTCACCATAGATGTACGGCCTTGCGAGGAACATTTTGGTATATAAATATGTTAGTTCAGACCTGCGCTAAGCTGCACGTTCTCAAAATACCGGAGAGAGCCTTTACAGCCTAGACCGTTTTCGAAAGAATCCATTCCAAAACTCTCAAGTTTCACTCGAAAAACAAAATTCTTTTTTATTTCGTATTTGTCTGACTGTGTTCTTTCTGAATATGATCTCGGTTTTATTCTAATTTACTATCCTTCAATAAAAATCGAAATTTTCCGAAAAAATAGCGCATTTACATGGTGTTTTTGCATTTCAAATCTTTTATAGAAGGAAAAGTCGTAGAAAAGAAAATTAGTCGTAGAAAAAGAAAATTTTACGATTAATTATTTTCTATAATCACCGAAAACCCATCGCAATTTTATATTGTGGGTCAATACCTGATACCTACGTTTTGAGCTTGTTTTTGTTCATAATGACTCACAACAGATTCTTCGGATGTTCGAACATCATTAATCCATGTTCAGAGATCCGGATTCGTTCGCACGCGTACATTTACTTGTCTTTGATACACTTGTATAAGTGATTATTTGTAAGTGGCCTTTCACCAATTTAGTCAAAATGATTCGAAAATTAGAAGTGAATCAGAAAATGTTTTTGAAGATTGAAAGAAACTTGTTTTCTAATTGGAAACGACTAATTATCTGAAAAAACAGTACATTATTGCTACTAATTAGAAAATTAATTATTTCAAGACTGAAAAGAGAGATGCATTACACATTTTGGTTGATCGGCAAGAGTGTATTTTGAATGCATGGAAAACGATTCAGTTTTAATTCATTCTTGAAAGCGAAGAGAATCGTCAAAAAGCAGACAGATGGTGGATCGTTGCAAAAAATATTTTTGAATGAAATTAGGTTTCTAGCCTTTTTCATGTCAAGTTTTGACATAAAAAGCGTGAACTACATGTTTCTTGAATGAATTAAAAGTAAATCTTTTTCCATGAATTCAAAATACACTGTTTCCGCTCTTGCCGATCAACCAAAATGTGTAATGCATCTCTCTTTTCAGTCTTGAAATAATTAACTTTCTAATTAGCAGCAATAATGTACTGTTTTTTAAGATAATTAGTCATTTCCAATTTGAAAACCAGCTTCTTTCAATTTTCAAAATCATTTTCTAGTTCAACTTCTAATTCTCAACAAAAAGCACTTTCTCTTCTACCTGATAATCATATTGATCGTGGCAAAGCTTATGGTATAATGGGTCGTGTTTATCGAGCTAAAAGAATGCATGACTTATCTCAGGACTATTATAAAAAGCAACTGGAAAATTGTCAACAATTGTTACCTAATAATCATTCTGATATTGGTACGGCATACACAAATCTTGGAAATGTATGTCAGGACATGGGTAACTATCAAAAAGCAATCGATTGCTATAAAAAAGCCCTAGCTATTAACCACAAATCTTTACCACCAAATCATCCGACTGTTAAATTAGCTGAAAATAATCTGCGTATTGTAACACGCAAATTAAATCGAAAATAATAGTGTACACTATGTTACAGCCGTAAAATGGCGTATTTTTCACTCTATCAGTGTTGCATTCTTTATTTTGAATTTTTTATACGTACGATATTTGAAGATTTCTAAGAGAAAATGAGCAACTGTCGTGTTTTTCCTACTCGGAATATTAGTTTTCTATAAGTATTTACATTAATTATGTCCGTTAAAGGATTCAAATACTAAGCCTTTGAGCGTGATGATGAAGGTTAGAAAAAAAATATAGCTCTTTACCTTAAAATTGGTCCAGTGATCGATATATTTGATACAAGCACGATTTATATATTTATGATAATAAGCAGAAGTAATAACAAACATACTAGAAGAATTAAGAATAATGTCATAAACGAAAAGACAGCGAGACACCGTCAGCATTACTACTGTCAACGTCAGAAAATCAAACAGAAGTCCAGCCGTTAATATAGAATGTCAAATTTTGATGTGGTTGGTTTTCTTGAAGGTTTAAAAGTCTGGTTAATCCTGTTAATCAAAGGGATTCTGAAGGCGAATAAAGCGACAACTCACTATTTATTATAACTAACGTTTATTTCCATGAAGTTTCATTATGAGAAAAAGAGGCTAAGAACTGAACAGTTCGTCTGATTCATCTTTCTGTCCCAAAACTTTATTCACGAAGATGTTTAAAGAATCAATGTTTTGTGAAATTCTTCACTGGTAATGGAGTGTTGAACTTTATGTCGAGAAATTTCTGCGTTTTTACATATTAGTCATGTCAGGAGATGCCCAGGAATATATCCCTTATCGCGAAAGTCAATATATTTCTGACGCCTTAGGTACTTCCAAGAGATCCTAGAAAACTTTTGGTTTTCATTTTTTCAAACATATCTGGCGGATTATTAAAAACTGCAGCGAAAATGACAACAAGAATTACTAATTTCTTTATCTGAATCTAGCATTGATGCCAATGAACTAATTAAAAATGCAGACCAAACTAGAACATATATTGAAAAAGCAGTGGCATTCTCTAAAACTCTTCCTGTATTAACTAAAGAGCAACAGCGTGCTATGGAAGAGCTAGGCGAACTTCAGGACCTTATTGGCAGTGCAACAAATAAAACAGCTGACTGCAGACAAGCAAAGGCAAAATCACACCGGTACAACAGTCCAGCACAAGTAACAGTAGTAACGAAGTTTCTTAGTCTATAAATGAACGTTGCTTATTGTTAGCAACAACCATTTCTGATCAGTTGAACAGTATGCCTGAGCATTTGACGATCAACCGACACTATCAAACAACGCCTATTTCAACCAAACAATGTTGTACATAAACCCGAAGTAATTTTATTCGAAAGAAAAAACGGTATATTTTGGCAGTTCGGATGATTAATGCGGTTTTTCTTTCACTATTATCCTTCTCACAAACTTTGAAAGAAAAAGTTGAATCAATGCAAACATTGTATGGAATATTTTATACTTCACATGTTCTACTAGCTAAATCGGTAAAAATCAAAACCATGTCTTAGACTACAGAACTATCTACCACCACCATTAGAGATAGTTGACCCCGTCACTCTGTTTCACCTCCCAAAACTACGTTTTCTAAAAGAACACTTCTCTCTGAAACTTGATCGTTGGTATGAATATGTCGATGCTGCAAACCCTGAAGAACCTGAACCTGAATCGCGACCTCAAACACCTAATCTGATTGATATGGAGGAAGATGAAGTAATAACACAAAAGCCCATTGAGGATTCATTCCCAGGACGCTTTCCGGTACTTGCCACCGAGGTTTTTAATCATTTCACGAAAGAAAACATCCCATTCGCCTTTGAGAACCTAAAGCCGAGTATAACAAAATTTTCAACATTTTGCTTCAACATGCTATCACACACGCTCACTCTGCTCCTCGCCGCCTCAGCTAAGGACCTAATCTTTGAAGAACCGCCACCGCAAGAAAAAGTAGATGGTCTTATAAGCATTCTGGACCTAACAGACAAACATCATTGACCCTTTTCTAGGGTCTCTGCGCACCATCAATGAGAAGCATTAATAGCCTAGTAATAGATCAAGCGCTAAAAAGCACCGTGACCTATTCATGACGATCCCCGAACAGAAGACGAAGATGAGAATATTCGACTGATGCTTGACTTGATAGAATGACGCCACGAATTAAAACCTCAGCTAGCAAAACTCGAAGCCCGACTCAATTTTACGGCCAAGAAAGTTGACTTTAGCCGACTGTATGATTTTAACTAACTAACTCACCCTCACAAAAAAATCAAAAAGCCAACTTTCAAAAAATTGGGTAAGTCTTCCCTGTTTCTTTTTAAACTTTTCCGCTGTAATTTCTTCTCCTTCGATTTATCGTTATTTGTCAAACACCCTCACCCTCACACAATCACCACTAAAAGTCACAAACCGCCATCATGGATGATACCAGCAAAAAATCACATATCAACTGCAGGTAGGTATCTCCCTGCAAATAATAATGCTATATATTTTGTTTCAGTCGAACAAAGACCGGTTCACAATGGCAAGAAAGCGCGATTCCAAAACGGCACCACGCCCAATTTTAACTCGTACAGAAACATTGGTAACTACATCCCACCACCACCACCTATCCCACTACGTCAGTCCAAAGTCAGGTCACTAATGTCATCAACGGCGAAAGTGCCACATGGATTTAATACTAGGATGGGAATGACCGGATCAACAGACACGAGAGCAGCAAGGTGGGTACTTACGAACAAGTAACCGATTTGACCTGTTTTTAGATACCGACCAAGGCACCTACTACCCAATTCCGAACCCAACAGACACCGAGCAGCAGTACTCCAACCCGCAACGACGTCCGGCTCCGCAAATAAAACCGCGGCGCACGGTTCCAAACCCCAAATACACCAAACCATACGCACAACCAAACAATATCCAACAATATGTCGCTCCGCTACGCATATCGTTGGGCGAGGATCCAAGCAGACATAGTACCACGTCACAGCAGAACACGGTAACAACACCAACTAATGCGTAGGAAGAAATCCCTAATAACCCTCTTCAACACACTGTTTCTGAATTAGACGAACTTTTAAGGTTATTTCTTCGACAGAAACGTATCACCCAGAACCAGTATGAGAAACTCAGAGCCCCTCTAGATGATTGTGAACTACCACATCTATATTACAACCCAAAATACCACAAAATTGGTGAGCCTCTGCGTTCAATAGTTGTCGGGATTAAATCGCCTATATGATGGAGGGGGAAAGTGACATTCTAGCAATGCAATGATGACTCTAGTCTGAGTTGAAAGCTACTATATTATTAAATAAAATAATGAATATAGTTGAGTTAGTTGTACAAATATTATATAACATTATATAATTGGTATATGGCATGTCGAGACGTGCATTTGTGTTTTTTTGATTGAAAATAATGATTTATTCAATTAAAAACAGTATCAATATATCGAGACGTGCTATGTGAGGCTCGTAGAAACACAGTGACTCAACCAAATAGAGGTGCTAATATTTCACCAAGATAGGTACGAGTTACTTGCAGACATTGACTGATTCAAATAAAAATATGGAATTTTATTCTAAGATTATATATATACAAGTCTCTACGTGAGATGTGAGCCTCTTAGAGACATATGTTTATTCGTACAAAAATTGAGATTTTTATTCCAGCAGGGCTATGTATAAGTCCCTAAGAGAGACATAAGTCTCCAAGAGTGTCTTTTAGAGACATTTCCAAACTCGCTTAAACGAATAAAAAGTTGTGTCTTTACTGTGAAAGTGTAGAAGGTAAATTCAAGCGTGTATTAGAAAAACATGTTTTGTAAATGTAAAAAATATTTTTCGTTGAATAGTCATAAACGTTGGAATAGTTATTAGTTTAAAGTGTGACTGTCGCTGTGTGCCTACTTTCTTAAATTGGAGAGTTTGTCTATTAAGAAGCGTAGTGAGTTTGTATCAGATATATCCGTATATCTGAAGCGGAGAGATATGTGTAGCTTTGTGAGTTATGAGTGACATTTTCTAACTAAATCAATTCAATAAAAACTTGATTACTGAAACTAAAATTTTTTTTGAATAAAAAAATGCTTTATTTTAAAACGACTAAGAATCACTCTCTCAGAGACCTATACGTAGCTCAGAGACATATTCTGTTGATATTAAGAAGCTCAGAGACAGATATTGACTTCTATTTTCATTTTAGAATTCTTTGAATAACTTACTGAGAGACATATAGAATAATGCGCAGCGCTATTTTGGCACCAGCTGATTATGAATCATTAACAGAGACAGATACAGTGTGGCGTGTGGTCTTTATTCTTTTCTTTTTCAGTAAAGTAGGAACACCTATTTATCAGCTCATTTACCCGTAGACTCATTCATCACTAATTGAAATGTTACTGCCAGCGCCTTTTATACAAAAGAAATAATGAAACTTTTTTAAATACATTTGTATTCTTCGACAGAAACTAATACGAACGAATTTGATTTAATTATTATAGAATTGCTATCGGACTATCGGATGACTAAAGAATATGTA